ATTTAAAATTTTCCGTTGTTGAAGATTCTTCGACATGTGAGTCCTTTTGGAATAGAATTCAAATATCCTCTGACTTTTGAGTTTTATGTTTCGGACTTGTGTTTGGTCAATCTTCAAAGTCAACATTATGATTAAATTTCTATTTTTAAAAAATTGGAATTTCGTTTTTTTCTTTATTGAGAAAATCAGTCAGGTATTCAAAGAACAATATATATATATATATATATATATGGAGAGAAATAAATAAACAGAAGAAAATGCATCTGTTTTCTTCATGTTCAAAAATATCTCCTATGAGAGTCTGGAGGAAATGTGTACAAAACCACCACATGTGTTGAGAAATCTCATGTGATTTTTTATTTATTTATTTTTATTTATTTTTTTAATACATGTCAAGGTCATCCTTTTATGAAGTTCAAAAAAAAATTCAATGAGATTTCAATGAGAAACTTACTGACCTGGTTTGATTTCTCAACAAATAAATGAAATCCCAACAAACAGCAAAGAACATTTGAAGAAAAAGACTCTGGCTTTTTCGGTGTGTCAAAAGCTATCACAAGATCGATCTCGAGTCAGCTTTGGTGACCTTCATTCGAAGTCTGGGTCTTCTTTTTCCATTTGCATCCCACATGCATCTTTGGCGTTCATCAAATTTAATAGACAATTTTCTTTTTTCTTATGTCTAAAAGGGAGGTTCCAGAAGGTCCTTGAAGCTTCCAGGCACAGAAAATGTACTCCAAATAGAGTGGTCCAGACCAGATTTTTCATACAAAATTTCAAGAGGGGTGAAGAGGATTGTGGGTGTCAATCTGATGGAACCCATTACCAAACAGTAGAGACAGAGTGAGAAAATCCAAAACAAATATATTGTATTTATATTGATCTAAATGTAATATATATATATATATATATATTTGTACTCACTGACTTTCTAACTGGTCCATGGGAGTAGACTTTGACATGACAAAGTGAAAAAAATAGACCTGTGGCTCAGGGTGCCGTAATGTTCTAGTTATTCCCCACCTTTTTCTAAAGTAACAAGGGTTCCCATACAAATAAATAAACAAACAAACAAAGCACCTTTTTTATGAAATTTTAATTTTTTAAAAAAAAGTGAATTTAATAGGTAATTGAAAATGAAAAATTTGTGGAAAAGGTAGTTCGGTTAACACTGGAAGAAACAGCAGTGAGAAGCTTTTTGTGTTGACTATTGGAAGGCAAGAGGGAATCCTTTACAAAAATAAAGCCTACAAAAAAACAAATCAATGAAGATGAGTAGTCCATGTAAGTTAGTGCAACCACAAAAAGGAACAATAATAGGGTGCATCACAGAACTCAATACAACAATGTTCATCATGACCATCCTTACAATTGACATGCTTTTGTGAGCCAACGTCAATTGCACTACTTATGTCAAAGAATAAAATAAAAGTAAAGTAAATAAAAATTGGCATTCACTTCATATTGTTGAATGCTTTTCTACCTGATAGCACGGTTTTCCTCCTCATTTATTATTTTTTATTTCAAAGACAATACTATATCAAAGTCATTTGCTCCTTGCTCCTTTATTTGGTTATTTATTTATTTATTTATTCATTCTCTTTTAATGCTTTTTTTTTTACAATGTTTATCATAAAAGGATACTTCCATTTCAAGTTCTCAGTTTTCACATAAATCATCTAAGGTAATGAATGTTTATTATTTCAAAAAACATTACCTCTCAGTTGATTTTTTCATTCATTGTCAAATAGAGTTAGTATTTCATATTAAAGTATCAAAAAATATGTGTAAACACCATCTCATTTAGAATAAATATCTGTATTTTTTACATAATTTGTGAGGTTAAATATTAATTTATTCAATCCCAAATCCCAAATTCCATCTTCATTGGAATTACTTGGATACTTCTTGTGTGTCTTACTTGAATTAGTGAGGAGTAAAGGTTAGTTTCAACAATTTGATCCTTTGAAGAGGTCTTGCAGAGATTGCCAAGTATTATATGGTGAATGGATTATTAAGGATTATAAGTCATACTGCCAACTTTTAGTGGTGGACAACTATAAAAGAAGGTTGGTATTGTGCGGATATGTATAACATCATGGCAAGTCCCAAAAGCTAATAATCAATTTTTGCAAGAAGTAATTGCGTCAATATTATCAAGCCATTCCCTCATTTTTCAAAATATAGAGTAGAGAGAAATATTTTTTGAGGATGTTTGAACTCCGCTTGGTCAACTACTAGTGTAATCTGCACTATGATCAATCTCTATTGCAAGTTGAGATAAAATTCTTGATAAACTTGACGGAGGTATAGAATGTGTTTGTAATGTGGGTTCAAGAGTCATAACATCCTAAGTCGAAATATGAAATTAGAACTTGTCAATACATTATAAACGAAGGGATATAGAAGAATCAATGATAAATTATATTAATTTATTTTATTTGCCTAAGACGAACAATAGGGAATAAGAAACAAGGGACATAAACATACGAGGAGAGTGGAAATATGAGACTAAGAACAAGGATGAGAGACAAAGAATGAAGAAGCAAAATATAGTCATAGAAATAGGAATGATGATCAATGTCTAGGACCTATATATTTATCTAGATAAGAAGTGTTTGGTAGAAGATAAATGTAAGTAGATTTGATATTATCTTATGATGAAACTTCTTAGAAACTTCACAAATGAATATTTGACTTTATACATATTTATAATTGATTGGTAGGTTAGAAACTTGGCCAACAAGTTAGCCATAAGTTGTACATGTTGACAACTTGTGGTATAAGCTAACAATGTGGCATACATATAGGAAACATGACTTGCAAGTTAAGACATGTGTCTTGCAAATTCAACACATGTTAGAGGTCCTATAAAACATTGCTACATAATTCTTAATTAGATAGTATATATGGAAGCAAGAGTGAAGCCTTCTTCACTCTTCTCAATGCCTTTCTAGTTCTTAGTCTTATTTCAAGACTTTCTAGTCTTCCTATCTTGGGCAATAGTCATTTTAGTTTAATATTATACCATCTTTGAGTGATTTTATAGTTTCTTTGAGTGATCCAAGAATTTATTCATCTTTTAGTTCTTTAGAACTTATGTCCTTGATAATCAAAAACAAAGATAAGATTTGAGATGGGAGACATAGAAGAAGGAAAGAAAATGGAAATAAGGAACTGAAAATGAAGGATGAAGATGTAGATGGATGAAATTAATCATGAAATGAAAAAGAAAAGTATAGCTTTAACAACTTCATATATATATATCAACATTGATGATTTTATAAAGATGAATTATTTTTTATAAAATCATAATATGGAATTTAATATAACTTTGATTATTATAATTTATAATGAAACTTTTTTAAAACAATTATTGTTTTCTTGATTTTGATTTATTTTGATTAATCATATTACCAAAATCTAAGATTTAGTTAATCTATTTATCTTAATTTTTTTGGATGATCCATCTAATTTTATTCTTAATATTATTGATATTAATAGAAACATATTTTACAAATGAAATTGATGAATTGACTTTCATCTTACCTACAAATAAAAGAAGAAAGGATAATAAAAAGAATTATATACTTGCTCTTATATATACTACTGTAAACTCATATTATATAATATATTCTTGAGCTATTAGTTTTTAATTTTGCTTCATTTGGTGTAATTGAATACAACATCTTATTTTCCATCTTAATAAGCTTACTTAATCTTGGTTGGTGAATTATACATTTTTTAATACATATATTAAAAACAATTTTAAGTTTATCTTTAATTTTTTTTAGTTATTCTTAAATATAAATAATTTTAAAATTTTTTTTGTTAAATTTATTAATATAAATAAATAAAAATATTTATTTTTTTATTATTTCCATCATATATCATGTATTAGATAAGGAAAAGATTGAAGCAAGAAATGACTACACAAAAAAAAATTTAAAAATCAAATGTATACACTAAGATGAATAAAATATTGCAAGTTATTCTATAGAATAAATTCAAAAGAGTTGATGATATTCAATAAGTATATACATGAATATTTATACATAAAAATTCTAACCTTCTAAAATTTGATTAAAAAATACTAAAATTTAAACCTATTAACATAGTTACTTTTGGCATTTCTTTCTTTCTTTCTTTCTTTTATTAGTTGTGTGCTGGAACATATCAACCCTCAATTTTATTTTTAAATGTTCTACAATCTAAGTTATCGCATCACATTCTATAAAACTCGTAATGATTGAATCTTTTAATTCATTAAATGCTCAACCTTACAATATGTGATTAACAATTGCATAATTTAAAATGCATCTTTGTAACCTACTTGGTTTCTAACCAACATTACACTTAAACCTTTTTTACTCAAATCTACACACACATTACCTACAACATCTAGAATCCTAACATCCATATCAAAAAAAAAAAAAAAAAAAAAAAAAAATTCTAAAATCCAAAAAAACCTCATACTACGAAATATACAGCTTTTCTATAAAAAAACAAAAAAACAAAAAGTCACACACCTACTCCAACTCGCTCTCTCTTTATATATATATACTCTTATATTTTTCAAACATTTGGTAACCTGTACACGAATACTATTTGCAACAAAGAAACAAAAGAATACACCTACCCGGGTGGGTCTTCCTTCCTTCCATACATACACCTTCCAGCCAACACACGTTCAACCCCCCCCCCCACCCCATTACTACTTGGAAGTCAACATGTGGAAGACTGACTTACTGACTCTCAGTCTGACCCACTGACTATCAGACTTACTATCTTTACAGAATGGCCCCGGCACTCACTCACTGAATGGCACCACCACCTTCCTTCCTTGCCTGGGCGAGGAGTTGGCCCACCCCACCCAGCTCGTCGTAGTAGGGGAGAGAGCGGTCAACCGGGCTGGCTGGCTGGGCTGCGGTACGGGAGAATAACCCCCCCCCCCCTCTCTCTCTCCCTGGAATGCCTTAAATGCCGGGTGGGCTTGTTGCTTTTTCCGATCCACGATCTGCCTGCCTTCATTCTCTTTGCGAGCATTCTCCTGCCTTGTTTCTATGCTGAAGAAGGGCTGTAGTGGGTACACTCTGCAGGTTCATGCAGTGGGGTTGTTGCATGTTTGTGTTTGTGTTTTTTTTTTTTTTTTTTTTTTTTCGGGTTGTAGTGTTAATTTGTAGGGTGAGAAGGTGGTGGAGGTCGTGGGTTGGAATTTGATCCCGGGGGGAGGACGTAGTAGTAGCCTCGAAGGTTCCTGGCACGGGTGCTTGTGAGAAGCAAGCACCGTGTTGAGATGCATTTTCTTGTTTCTATTTTAGAGAAAGTTGGCGTTGCATGATTAGGACCTGCGAGTGGGGCTGTGTGTAGTGGGTGGGTTGCGGGATTGCGAGTCGCTTTGATAAGCTCCCCGGGTGCGGTTCAAATTTTGGCTTTTCCTCCTGTGTGTGGACGAAGGCGTGGTGTGGCATTTAGGGTGAGCAGGTGAGAGTAGTGCCTTGAAGTGAAATTTCGTTGCAAGCGTGATCTGTAACGGTTTTTGTACATGATGTGCTGTTAGTCTTGAATCATTTGTAGGCCTCAGATACTCCTTTGCAAAATGGGTTTGAAAGCAACGGTCACCTTTTGCGCTTCAAGACTCTTTGCCGTTAAAGTTCTTTTATGTCGTGCTGCAAGTTTCGTTTTTGATTGATAGGGAGAGACACAGTGCGGTAGCTCAACTTTCATGCTTCGATGTTGCGGGTGCTAGAGATTGCAAATGAACATCGAACTTGAGAAGTAGAACTTAAAAAAAGGAATTTCTTCGTGCTCTGTTCAGCTTACTAGATTCTTGACTCAGAGGTTTTGTACACTCGTGCAATGTTTGCAGCTTTGAAGATTGTTGCTGTAATGACGCGCATGTTGTTCATGGATTTGGATTATTGGCTTGTATTTGCAGACCTCACATGTGCGACGACATGGCGTTCAGCTATTCAAGAGAGTAGGCCGACGATCGAAAACGAGGCTGGCCAATAACATTTGAAATTGGAACTGGGTTTGCTAGCTTTCCGGCAGATTTAGCCTGCCTCCTACTCTGGTGAAGATGGGTGCCATGGAGGTTTTAGATTATAGCATTACTTTGGGGAAGAGAGACAGAGATTATGAAGTTAAGGAAGCTGCAAGAATGGGAATAGAGAGCGCGCGGAGACTGCTTCAGTCCCTCACGCATGCGCAACCCGCAGTAGTAGATGAGGAATGTGACACAATCGCCACTGCTGCCATATCCAAATTTCAGAAGGTCGTGTCTTTACTGGGTCGCACTGGACACGCAAGGTTTCGTAGGAGAGCGCGTGACTCTACGGTGACGGGATGCGCAGGCGTATTTTTAGAAAGCTCAAATTTCTTTACGGATAATGCGCAGGTGCTGGAGCCAAGAGATAGACCCGTCTCTTCTGGCCATGCCAGCCCGTCCCCGTCCCCATTCACGCCGATAGCCTCATCAAAACCTCCGCAATCGCCTGAACTTCAGCGTATCCTATACCAGGTATGTCCCAGTCATCTGGATCCATGTAAGTTCGGAAGGCTCAAAGTTTCGCCTGCAACTGGGTCTTTGAAAGCATCTGATCATTTGAGATCATTTGCTGACGATTTGATTTCTGGTGGGATGTCGTTTTTCTATTGGTCAGGTATTTCCTCAAAGCTCCCCTACTTCAGCTGGCGAGGCATCCGTCCCGAGCGGTTCAACCCACAGTATACTCCACCCCACGCCGAAAGCTCACCACCTTCTGCATAGTGTCCAACAGGGGCCAATGCAACAAAGCCTTCCAGAGCATATATTACGTCCACTAGCTGCTGGGTATCGGCCAGTGCTTCCACCAAATCTTTTCAATAATAAGCATGATGTGAGCAACAAGGGCCCTAGCCCTGGCAACAGTTCGTTGAATTCGGGGCCTCCGGAATCGGCGACCACCGTGTCCTTCTCTAACATGAGCGTGGATAGGATCAGCCAGCAGACGGGCAAATCACTAGAACAGCCTTCGCCGTTGCCTCCGCGCCCCCAGGCGTCAAATTCCAGGAAAAGGTGTTCTGGCAAATCTGACGAAAATGGCGCAACATGTGCAATCCTTGGCCGCTGCCATTGCTCGAAACGCAGGTGCATATTTTATCCCTGCCATATCTTGCCCCCCAAACCATAACAAGTGCAACAATGAACATTTCACTGCTCTGTTACCTGCTTAGTGTTTGAGCAGCTATGGTGGACTTTGGAATGTTGGAGGTAACAAAGTTTCTGAAATTGAATATGCTCGACAGGAAATTGCGGTTGAAGAGGACAATCAAGGTGAGAGCAATCAGCAGCAAATTAGCTGACATACCTCCGGATGATTACTCGTGGCGCAAGTATGGCCAGAAGCCTATCAAGGGATCACCGCACCCAAGGTACTTAGTCCCTACTTCTTTCCGTGAATTACTGCTGATTTCGTGTGTTTTTCATCTACTGTAGTGTTGATTACGAGAAATGGGCACCGACTGTGTAACTGTCTTGTGCTTTGCAGAGGATACTACAAGTGCAGCAGCATACGCGGATGTCCAGCCAGAAAACACGTTGAGCGATCCATGGAAGATCCAACGATGTTAATTGTCACATATGAAGGCGAACACAACCACCCACAATTATCTGCGAATGGTGGCTTGACGGTGCAGTCACATTAGAGAAGCATGTATATTGCAGTAGGGTTACAGGCTCATTACCTACATAGAGAGTGCGCTGAATCCCCTCGTACTCACGTAGAAACTTTGAAATCGTGTCAAGTATGTACCCATTTTGTACTCCAATTTTTTTGTAAAGTATACTCTGATTTCCTTTTACAAATTCATCACACGTCAAGAAATAGCCACTTAAACATGAAATAAGTACGTCACAATGTAATAGAGAAACAATCTACTCTTCCTTGACAGCGTTTTGTTTTATTTTATTTTATTTCCTGTACTTGAAGCTAATATTATCAACCCTATTGATATGGGAATCATGCCATGCACTGAGACGCTCACAATCCGCATGCGTCACGGAGTACGCAATTTGTACACGAATCTTAATGAGTAAGCGGTGGAGCATTTACAGCTTTGAAATAAACCCAACTCGGCGACATTCAAGTCATTAAAACCACAACCCAAACGGCAGAGGTGAGTGGATCAAGCCCAGTTCTGAACAATATTCTGTGCAGCCTTTCACCTTAATAGGAGGCACTCTCTAGGGAACCAAAGTATCCATGCGTCATGTGAATTCGAAGTTCAACAACATGCACATAGTTCGCAATCTTGTCCAGTTCGTCGATTTTACATCGGTATGTATCACAGCATTAGAAATAGTCTACAGTGCGAATATGAAGCATGCAATTGCAACCTCATAGCAACCTAGAATTCTCGCAATTGTCTCCTAATTGCAATCTAGCGGATAAGTCGAAGCCATGCAATCACATAGAGCACATGGATGGAGATTGAGACGGAACAAGTATCCAATCAATTTGAACACATTCAAAAGAAAAATCCTCTGCAACCTAAGACTTGACGACTCCAATTTCTTTTAGCCACGCCGTATGCAAAGGACACGGATCAGACTTCCCACTTTCTAAAGCCCGCCTCGAAATCTCGTAGAACCAACCATTTCGCCACTCAAACTCTTTCACAGCCGTGGGAAAATGCGCAACTGAGCGCGCGTAAGCGCAGAGTCGATCTACAATGCCAGCATCGAATTTCAATTGCTTCTCTGCTTCTGCTGCGCCTGCGAGCTCATTGATAAGATCCTCTACTTCTTTCCGATGCTCCTTCTCAACAACACCAACCGTTGCACCTGGATGTCTTGCGCCCACCAACATAAACGCGCATATCCAGATTAATTTCTCAAGCATTGGCTTCTTGAATTCTTCCGCGTCCAGCACCTTGCACGAAAGCCCTGCAGAGTGGAGTCGCGCGGCCGTGGCCTTTGCCCATTTCCCCGTCGCCGCTGTCAACCCCTCAGGATTCGTGTCCGTCTTTCCGTCCAAAGGGGGATCGCCCAGTTTCGCCACGGCGAAGTACACCAATACCTGCGTTGCATCCCCCAATCCTTTGCTTTCAAGCCATGGCTCGAGCATACCATTCTGAATGAACACCAAATCTCCCCGCCGGGACGCTGGAGTGGCGTCCACAATAGTCCCAAGAACATCATTCCGAGTGCACACGAAAATGGGTCCCGCGCTGTCTTCTGGCACAGTCTCGCCCCGCCGAACAACGATGTCACGACCCCCGCCCATTTTCTCAAACGCTTGCCCCACGCGCCCAGCTCCCACTATCACTCCCGCTGCCACTTCCCCCGCTGTTGCAGTCGCCATTGCTCCCTCCCCCCACTGCTCCGAGCTCGCTCTCGCAATCCCTGAGATCCTCGACTCCGCCACCAATGTTGACGACCTCAAAATGCCACCCCGGCTTCGGCTCTTGCCCACAGACAACCTGCAAATGTCGACCTTCCTGGAATTGGGCACATTCGGCGCTTGTAGTGAGGAGAGCCGTAGCAATTGTGTACGAGAGAGCGAAACCATGACCGCCATGGCCAATGTCCTCTCGTGAATCCGAATTTGGGTTTACTTCTCGTCACAGGATTCCACTTCAATCTTCTTTCTACTTCGTCATCATCTTCTGGCTCTCCTGGCCCAAAAAGTTAATATGAACCACATAGCGCTGTTTATCCGGGTATTGAGGGAGACGATGCTGCATTGACCTAACCCGGGTAAGATCGTCACCATGAGCTACCGGTCCTCAATGTGAGCGGTGTCGCGGCCGATGCAGAAAGCGTCGTTCCATCCTTACAGGCCTTCCATTTTCAGCATTCACGTTGAGAGATACCATTGTCCAGGGTGTGTTCCGATTGCGTGATGGACCGCAGAGGCGCACGTTGGCACGCGTTTTCGTTGCAGCATCTCTCAGATCAGAATCCCATGCTCTGAAATTCGTCAAATTATATAATATGGCTTGTTTCGTGTGCTGCAAACGTTGAGAATTGGGGTAATTGGTGGTTTGTGTAGCTGGGATCTATCCAAGCTCTACCTGACAACTTCCCAACATCTTTACCGTCTTCTTTTCTTCTTGAGTGCCACTCCTCGAGGATTCAAAGTTTAGGGTATATTCGAATATAACTACAACATCGTAAAAATTAAATAGTCCGAGCGATGGAGCGAGAGATCAAGATTTTCCTCTTGCTACTCGAGGTCTTCCTACGGGAAAAGTGGAAAAAGAAAACTTAAATAAGTCTTCTTCTAGCAGGATCAGTCGCATCCGATGCCTCCTTGGAATTAACAAAGAGCACAGAAGCAGCAGATTCTACGTTCGATCAGTGATGTGAAGAGATCAAATCTAGCCACCTTTTTGCGCTCCTTTTTACCCACAGGAATCGCAAGAAATGGTTCTGTTAGAGTCTTCGACATGAAAACAAATTTTTCTAATGTCTTTGAATAAAGTATCCCAGGTATCCTCAATGCCCAAGGACTCGGATATCCTTGAAGCATATATGAACGACTCAGTCTGGGCGGTGCAGCAACGTCCATTGGTATTCCGGTGTGGTATTCGGTATTTTATCTTCTTGGTTGATCGCAAGTAGCAAAATGTCATCTCAAAATTCAGATAGATCCATGTGAGTACGATTTAGTTGCCGTTCGTCCTATCTCGATGATGAAGAGGAACCATGGGGAAGAGAAGTTATGGATAGTTACGCAGTTATCATGGACCTTCCGTTTGTGCTGCGCCCGTTTTAGACAGAAGTGAAGCGCCCTTCCTCATTTAGAAGAGGATAATCAGAGATGATGGAGTGGGAGAGCATGATGTGGAAGCCTTGGCCTCGGATGTGCTTCGATGAGATTGCTCCCATGTCACAGGTAGACACAGCCAGTCATTCATTCGAGTTTATGAGAGTTCATTTATTTGTCTGTTGACCTAGTTACTTACACAATGCCATCGTGTTTCTGTTCATATGCACCGTTGCATTCACCATGTCTTCGTGGAATCGAAAACATCTGTTTTTTTTATTATTATTATTGTTACTATCATTTTGACAATTAAAGTGACATTTCATTTTGTGAACGATTCGCAGTAAGTAAGTTGGAGCCAGACAGACTTCTCTCTTTTAAAGATTTCAACCTCTATTTCGTTGCTGCATTTCCTACAATTCGTGCATTAATTACATCTGTGTTTATAATTTCGTCAATGCATGAATCAACTAGTGACAAATTATGCGTTAATGATATCTTTTGTAGACTCGCTGTCAACTGGCTACAACTGCGTCGACCTCGGACGGTTCTCTCATCGGAATACTTGGACCCTGCGACGAAATCTTCTAATTGCTACTTTAGGAGGAAACTAGCAACCATTGATGAGCGATCGTGTCTCGCACACTCATGTGTGGCGCGCATACCTACGCATGTACACGAACAGCTGCAGGTGGAGTCCAGACGACCACGTTCTCCTTAGGTACCATCTTCATTCTCTTGCTTGCACATATACTTATCTGTCTTTAAAAACCACCACTGCCTTTCAAATTCATCTAGAGCCTAAGCTACAACTCACCAGCAGTATTGCCGACACGCCTCTTCTCTTTGGTATTATGAGGCACAACTCAATCTTCAAATCCCTAGACAGGGATCGCGGATATGATTTTCACCCGCCCACAGGTATGTCTTCTGTTCCAATGGTTCAGTACCTAGTAATCGCCGATTTTGTGACTCCCCATGGCGAGGGTCTCGTCCTGTCATCACAGCTCAGTGGGAGTTTCAGAGCTGCCACCGATGTCAACACCTCCTGTAGTTCCCTAAATCATTCTCTCAGTTTCTCTTCGCACGTTGCAGAGGAATAAAAGGTGTTATTTAAGTTGCTGATCCGCTGATGTTAAGGCCGAGGACGTCCCCCAGACAGGGCAAAGGAAAGGACAGTACTAAAACCCATCAGGCATTGAACGTGATTAGTACCCTCTCGAAGCTGGTGACTGTGATCTTATCGCTGCTGCCGTGTGGCATGCACTGGCAACATCGGTCCTCTTGCAGGCAACACACATTCAATAATTCCAGCACTTCTATGCAAAGTGTGAACTGTGACCGAGGCTCATCTCTCTGGTTTCTTCCTTTTCCTTTACTTGTACGTTAGCGCCTGTTGACGTGACATCTGTAACCCGATCTCAACAAATTAAGCTGACAGGATATGCTCAGAGCACATTCTTCAACTGCTGCTATGATCTGGTACATAATAAAAACTAACCCTCCCCCATCCATTAGTATCACAAGTTCTATCTTTTAATCCTTTCATTGGTAACAAAATATAATAATAATAATAACAATAATAATAACAATAATAATAAAGGGTCCTGTGTGTCTGTGACCCTCCCTCCAGACAGTACTCACTGATTTACGCAACGATCTTGTGAGGTGTAGAAATGTTGTGCAAATTTCGAGTATGACAGACAAACTGTTGAGAACTGTTACAATGTTTCATGCAACAAAAGATCGTTCCACGAAAGCCACACATATCTGTGTGTTTTAATACATGTAAACTAATCATACATGACTATATTTGGTGATCGAGGTGATGCTTCTCGTATCGAATGAGAATAAATCAATGTTTTGATTCACGGTTATAATCTCATCAATAAGATAATTTAGAGTACACTACATTTGCTTACATATATAGCATATATTTATAACCATGCATAAAAAAAATGCGTTGATTAGGCGTACTGTAGCAGCACCATTAATGACAGCCCAAATGTACGTTCCCTATTATTTTTTCCCATGAATAGAAGTATTACCCACCATCAGATATATGCATGATTCCTCGATATCCCTCAGACGCAGGCTTCTTGATGTGGAAGTTGTTAGAAGGCCCTCATTGATGCGGGAGTTTTGAACATTGACGTCATCGTCAGTAACAACCCACTTGAATTGACTCCACAGTGAAAAGGGTTGGTTTGTTGGGAGATTCTTAAAAAGAAAAGTGGCCGACGATGGCCTACACTTCTTCCTGGTTAAGAAAGACAGACAGAGAGAGAGTACAGAAACCAGCAACCATCAGAAAGACCCAACCCCTTCCTATGCTGTCATTCTTTTGGATTATCCACTCATTTTTTTTTTTTTTCCTTCCCTGAGCTGAAACCAAGCATGGGTCACAAAACGGCTTCGAGGCTTTAAAGGCTGTCTATCTATCATTCCCCGGCACAGCAAAAACAATCCCTTCATCCACTCGGTCCACACGCTGCACACAAGCACGGAACGGACAAGTTGGACTCCAACAATCGCATTAACCTCTGAGCATGGGATCTGGGGGGGAGAATCATCTGACGACATTTGCAGAACCAGGATTCTCAAATGTAAGTGAGCAGAAGAAGAAGACGAGAGTTGGGTCCAAAGGCGAGAAACGCGCATAGGAAGAGATAGGAATGGGCGTGAGATCGTACACGGGAATGGGCATGGGGGAACCGATAGAGGAGGAGGTGCGGTGATCCGTAACACCGCGGGTGGAGGAGGGGGTGGGTGACCGCGGGACGGGGGAGGACCAAGTCTGGGAGGGGGGCCAGGCTGTCGGGCTTTCAGGGAGCAGGCAGACCGGACACAGTGCGCCATGGGGGAGCACGTTCTGACATACATTCTCCCTGTCTCCCGCCCCCACTCGGCAGCCCTTCCATCCATCTATCCCTCTCGTCTTCATTCATCCAAACGTATCATTATTCATCGATAGTCACTGTTCCCTGCCTGCCTACGTCTCTTCTGTACCCCTAACTCCACCCACTCACTCACCCACCCTCCCACCCACAACACATACATACATATGTACATACGTACATACGTACATATGGACAATCCAAGCAATGTAAAGGAAAACACACGGAAAGTGAGCAAGACCTGTTCATTGTAAGAGTCTCAGCTGGTAAAAAGCTAACCTTCATCAGAAGTTAATTTCTTGTTTTCTTTAGAAATTTTTTTTTGAAAAAAATAAATAAATTGGGACATGCTGAAGAAGAGAATAACACTGAGGTAGGTTTGTTTGTTTTCTGTGACATAGGTAGGAAAAATCTTTGTCCAAGTGTCGCAGTGGTGATTTTACAGTTGGAATTAAAATTGCTGGACTTTTTTTTAGAATTGTTTTGCAAATTTGGGTACCACCTGCCATTTGTTACAATTTTAGGATCGTTCAGAAATTCATCAAGTACATTGTGGCCCCACTTCTATTCAAACAATTTAAAGTAAAGTTGCTTCAATATGCATCTCTTGAAACATAAAGAATAAATAATTTCAATATTATAAAGAGTATTTTATGTGAATTTTGGAGGTGTGCACAAAAGTCACATCTTATTAATCTTATGTGAATCTAAGACAACCTATCATCCATATTAGTATGTGTGTTATTCACTTCAGTAAATAATCTACTATATAAGATATTTTAGGATACATATATATTTTTTCCATTAAAAAATGTGTTATTACTATTTAAAATTTCAATGTCTTGAATGTTTTAAGTTTAAAATTTTGTACATCTTATTTAAGAGCAAATCAAATTTTAAATTCTAAGAATAGAAGTTTCATTGTGTGCAGATTAAATATTTTTTTCAAAAAATATTACTAAAAAACATTTATATATTCTTAAATCTTATATGTCAATATAAATATAGAAATTTATAATATTTATTTTAAAAATTTACTAGTTTAAAAATTAAAGAAATTCAATATTGTTACTTCAATTTCCTTCTCTAACAACAATTTTAGTATCTTTTTAGTAACACAAAACTTTTATTGACTACAAATTTTTAAAAAATTAAAATTATTTATTTATTTATAATTTTTTTCACATATAATAACTTTAAAATTTAAATGTTAAGATTTTAAAATATTTATAAAACATTATATACATTTTTTTTCAAACTATTCAAAACATTTATCTTAAATGCAAATGTAGATACATATATTAAATATATATTTTAGTTAGTGATATATATATATATATATATATATATATATATGTATAGTATAATGATTTATAGACACATATGCTATATTAAACATTAGATATAAGGAGAAAAAAAATGAAGAAATACAAAATGAAAAAAAAAATAGATTTGATATAAGACTAGAAACAAGACTATGACCATGAAAATACTTAAATTGTTTTAAAACTTGTATTAGAAAAAGTGATGTATAAGACTTATAGACAATATTCTAAGAACTATGAAATATCCTAGATATTTTAAGACTATCCTAGAGATATATATAAAGTGATATATTTATATATAGAATGATTTAAAAAGTTTTAAAAGGTGTTAGATGCTATAATATGTTGTATGTCTATAATAGGTATTTCTAAATTTAGTTATTTATTTGTACTAAATAAAATATTTGTAATTCTATCAGTAACATGCAATAAATTTTCACCATTGTCTAGTGTTTTTGTAATTGTTTATGAAACAATAATCATAATTAAAGAAAACAATTCTCCAAAATATATTACATTATCTAAAGTTTAGTAAATGTTTTATATCTAAGTAGCTTACAAATATGTACGTTTTCTAAAATTAACTATACTACTTTATAACAATGTTCAAATCTCATTCTTCTTAAATATTTTCTACACTTCAAAAATATTTAATATAATAAAAGATTATTTGGAATGTATATAGGAGTCTTATTTTTAGTCACTTATAGATTTTATAAAACTATATCTAATTTGATACAATTTTTAATGGTATAAATAATTATATCTTATTTATAAAATAAAATAGCTTATAAACTACCAAACTATTTACTTAAAAATATGTATATGTATATATATATATATATATATATATATATATATAAAGAAATATCAAAAACATAATATATTCAATAAGATTAAAAACCATTATTCAAAAAAATTAAAAATTAAAAATATTACTTTTTTATAAATCAGTTTGCTAAAATGTTATATGTTCCTTAATATCATAAATTTTTAATAGATTTATATACTTGACTTGGAAATACTAAAGTTATTATGGTTATATTTAAGCAATATTTATTTATTTATTTATTTTATATAAATTTAAATAAAAATATATGGAATAGATTTTAAATATAGAGAGATTTTGTAAAACAAGTTAATATTTGTTTTTCACTTTTTAACACCCATAAAATTAGAATAGAATAAAACAAAATATTGTAGATAAGAGTTGTATGAAGAACTTCTCCAGCAGAATAATAATTAAACTTGTTAATGTATGTTTGTTTAAATGTGTGCACCATTATGGGGCTTAAGAAACCCACTGAACAAGCCATGAATCGGGAATGCTGACATGGCAGGGGCAAAGGCTTGATGAAACCCCCGAGGACAACAATCTCACAGCCCTTACGACACCCCCCCGTACACGACCGCGAACACATACCGGTGCCATACGAACATACCCGACTCGACTTCCTTACATACACACATACGAACCAATCGACACAATGATATAATACTCTACTATACGATACGAAAATATATACGCGAGCGGTATACAGCGGAAAAGGGGACAAGCAAGAAAGAAAGGAAGGGCTCGGAAAGGGCCAGGGCCAGGGCGAGGGGGAGGCCAATTCTAGGAGGGGGGAGGGGATGGGGGCTCTGAGTTACAAGAGGGAGCCTCGCCTCCGAATCTGCGCTTCTGCGGAGGTTCCAATCATCCCACACACGCCGGTCAAGTCCACCTCTGACAGCTGCCTTTTTTTTTTTTTTTTTTTTTTTTTAATTGGCTTTCCCAACCAGATTGGCACTCTCGCGATAGACGCACTGCGACTCACTTTGGTGGGTAGGTTCTGATTCTTGCGCTTCGGATTGATTGCAGTGGACTTGACTGCGCTGCGAGGCGGATGCGTGAGGATGTGTTTGAGAAGACTGCGTGTGCGCGTGTGTGTGAGTGAGTGAATGAGAGAGAGAGAGAGAGAGAGAGAGAGAAAGAGATAGAGATAGCGTGGATTTTGGGTGTTTGGTGGGGTTGCGAGGTGGCGGACGAGTTGGGGTGTGAGTGAGATAGAGAGGGAGAGATGACGAGGTGCAAAGCTGATGTGGGCCTTGGGGGATGGTGAAGAGAGGAGGAGTGGAGGAGCCGTCCAATGGAGGTTGTGGCGGAGGAGGAGTCTCGACCGTGTGGGGCGACGGTGTGGAGTGGTTTCTTGAGGGGTGAGTTTAATTCCGAGTCCTCGTTCTGTTGCTCTTCCGCCCCTGGGATGGGGTTTCTGGCGGCTATGCCGTTGGGTGTGGGTGGTGGTGGGGAGTGTTGCAGGTGCGATCTCAAGGATGCGCTTTCGTTGCCCTCTCTACTGTGTGTGTGTATGTGTGCCTGTTGGGTTTATGGGTGAAAGAGTGGTCTTCTTGAGAGGATCTAGTAAATGGTGGGTGTTAGGAGTGGTGTGTTCTTTGCTTCATTTTGGGGTTGCTGTTTTGGTGAGAAGATACTTTACGTGAGCCATTTCACTGCTTTGTAATTGTGGTGGTTCGTGATGTACGCAATCTAGTTCGGGTTGAAATTTTAAGCCTTAATACTGCTGAACAGTTTACAGCAGACGAGGAGCGTTGGAAGTGCGTTAATTGCTCCCAAAGCTGGCTCCTATCTCCACATTTCAAGTTCACTCCTTTCCTGTAGTTCGTGTTTCTTTCTAGTCGATATCCATTCCCCCTCTCATTGCTCTAAACTTGCATTGAAAGTATAATTCGAATAACAGGTAGTCAACCATGGCCTGTATCTAATTATGCCGACTCTTCTGCTCGAAAGAGGCCTAACTACAGAGTTAGATGGTGGACTACGAGACCTGCATCTGTCTACAAGGGTTACAGCGTAGCTCTAGGTTTATAAAGATTAGAGATGTAGTCGAGATAAGAGTGTTGCTTTTCAACTGAAACTCTAGGGTAGCCACTTACTGCTTCTCCAAATTTTGATGATCTTTATGTATGGTTTATCTTTGTGCTTGTGCATCTCTCTTTTTTTGGAATGGCTCGTCGGGTAGAGCTGCAATACTTGTCAACAACAGCTCTAGCATTTCATATTTTACCTTCGTCTGTCAGCTGCAAAACTCTTTACCTTGACAGTTGCGCGGAGACAAAAGAATAAAAATAAAGAAGTAAAAAAGAAGTCCTGTCGAGTAAGCTTTTCAATCAGAATTTTTGTGAAAGGACAGCTGTGCGTCTCTTCCATTTTCTTCAGTACCTCATTTGATCAGCCTGCCGTCAAACCCTTCCACGATGTGCCCAATAATGGTTAAGTCGTTCGTTCATATTTTCAACCTTTTGGTGATCGCAGTCATGAGAGGGTTAGCAATTGGCTGAACACAGTTAAGCTTTTAAACTAAGCAGTAGTTGCACACAATGAAATGGACACCAGTGAGTAATGATAACTTTTATGTGAAGGAAGGCTGGACCGTTATAAGAGGTCAAAGTTTTGTGAGTTTTATCCCTTTTTCATCGCTAGCTCAGCAGGAATCACCAGGCTCAGCTTGGACAGTCTGGCTGAAGGTATGTTGTGCAGAATTTTCTTTTTCAAGTGGCCGTTTAGGTACCTAGAGTTTAATAACACGCATGACGTTCTGGTCGTTTTGCAGCTCATAAGCAACATGGAGATGGAAGTGTTGTTGGAAGTGTCGGCTCTTAGGCTACAAGGTTAAAACAGAGAAGTACTCCTCTTGAAGGCATTGTAGCGAGCAAATTTGTGTACCCATCGTTCAATCATTGTTGGCAAAGTTTAAGAGTCAGTACTCAGGCGGCCCCTGTCATCATAGAAGGTTACTTATGTACCAGTGCAGCGAGAGGCCGCCAAATCTAGTATCTGGATCGGGTTCAAAGGCTCAACTCATGGAGCATAGTACGCTCTTCAAACCTTAATGCCGTGTTCAGTGTCTTGTTCATACAGCCAAGGCATTGTAGGTTTCCTGCACTTCAAACAAATTGAAATACTTTGGAAAATTCCGCGTTCCCTTGCGGGAGTTGATTTCAACGTTTTGAAATTAAGTTGTTCAGGTTGCGAAAGGCATGGATTTGTCAGTGTTGTGATGCAGCCTCTGCCAATGACGAGCCACGTGTAAGTACGGGGTTGTCATTTTCGACAATTCTGAAATGAAGACTGTAACTCACTCTTGATCGTCCTTTTCTGCAGTGGAAAGGAGGAGTCCCACTTCAGAGCTATGGCATGCTTGTGCCGGACCCTTGGTCTCACTTCCTCCTATTGGCAGCCGGGTGGTGTACTTTCCTCAAGGTCATACGGAACAGGTAGTGCGTTGTTTGTGTACTCATGTCAGAAATGGTTTTCTTCTAGGCAAACGTTCTTCGAACCTGGATGCATGCGCTATTCTTGATGGAATACTGTATTCAGCTCTTCGTTTCGTTTTTACAGGTAGCAGCATCAACTCAAAGAGAGGCTGAGACTCATATTCCTAATTATCCCAGTCTTCCATCACGACTGGTCTGCCTACTTGACAATGTTACGCTTCATGTATGGTTACGCTCTTGGGACTCCTCATTTTATTCAATATATATATATATATATATATATGGTGCTTGCTTTGAATAGGAATTTGAGGCAATTTGATGTGAGCTAATGTTGATCTGGATAAACAACCTGGGAAATGTTCTATAAACTTCAAACACTACAAATATCGCTCTTTTTCTCAGTTCTAAAATTGGATTGTCAGGTTTCTGATCGTTATTCGATGTCTTTAATCGATGTTGTCATACAGGCTGACCTTGAGACGGATGAAGTCTATGCTCAAATGACATTAATACCTGTACCTCCTGCTGTAAGTATCTAGCTCCTCTTACTACCACACTTATCGTAGCGACGCGCGTCAAATTGATGCTTGCAATATGTTAGCAGTCCTTCTGAAGATGGAAGTCTTCTGCGCGATGTGCACTAAGGTGGTATCCATTTTTTCTTTTTAATTTTAGCTTTTTAGTCCTCTGAGATGCATGTGATTATTATTTTGAAATTATGCAACTGACGAAAGAGTTGGTCTAATGGCGCATGGATTTTTTCTGGTTGGTGTTCAGAATGAGAAGGAAGCTCTTATGTCTCCTGATATTGGGATAAGAAGTAGACAGCCAACAGATTACTTTTGCAAAACCTTGACGGCCAGTGACACAAGCACTCATGGTGGCTTTTCTATTCCTCGACGAGCTGCGGAGAAAGTCTTTCCTCCATTGGTATTTCACCATAATGAGCTCTTCATCATTTGTTATGTTATCGCATGGCTGCTTAAAATTTATAATTTATTTAGCAATTTTTTGGTGTGAAATATCTTACAGGGAAAGATATGTTCATGCAGGACTACTCTCAAACACCACCAGCTCAAGAACTGAAAGCAAGAGACCTGCACGATCAGGAGTGGCACTTCAGACACATATATCGTGGTGCGTGAAAATCTGAATTCAGATTTTGTGAATCTGTTTGTTACGTTGTCTATCACTATAGCCTTCATTCTCTCTCTTACCCACTTGCGTGTAAAGCTTGTATACCTCGGTTCTTTAGTGGAAACTAGTCCTGGAACTTACCTTTTATTTTGTTTTTACCTTCTCTGTAGGTCAACCGCGAAGACACCTGCTGACGACAGGGTGGAGTGTCTTTGTGAGCGCAAAGAGGCTTCAAGCAGGTGATGCTGTTTTATTCATCAGGTAGGCGACTGAGGAGAGATCGTTGTTACGTGATTTATATGTAGTTGTCTTAGGTCGTGCAAACCGTAATCTAGATAGGACTTCATCTAAATGTGAAGGTCGCATCTTATGTATAGCCTGCGTGGTCTTTGACACCGCGTGCATTCTTAGAAGTTCATAGCCAATGACGACATTGGTGTGCAGAGACGATAAAGGCCAATTGCAGCTGGGCATCCGTCGACAAAATCGGCAACAGACGGTGATGCCGTCATCAGTCTTGTCCAGCGACAGCATGCACATTGGAGTGCTAGCGGCTGCAAATCATGCAGCTGCTACTAGTAGTCGTTTCACCATCTTCTATAACCCGAGGTATTTCTACACCATCCAATGTAAGAATATACCAATAGAGTTTTATAATCCTGTATTGTATATTTATGTCTTTTGGATGGTCAAATCACGGATTTTCCCGCTCTAATTCTAATCGTCTTTGTCGATTATGAATGCAGGCAAAGCCCATCGGAGTTTGTCATCCCTGTAGCAAAGTATCAAAAAGCCATTTGCAATCTACAGGTCTCAGTTGGCATGCGGTTTCGGATGGTGTTCGAGACTGAGGAATCCAGCGTTCGAAGGTGAGGTTAGCTTATATTAGCAATGAGGTTGTAGTTTTTACATGTTCAATCCTGGAAGCTCAGCGTGAGCTTCGATGACATATAGAGATGGTTACGATTTAATTTACTGACATCGGTACTGCAGGTATATGGGCACGATCACTGGCATGGGAGATTTAGACCCAATACGTTGGCCCAATTCGCACTGGCGCTCTTTGAAGGTATCAGATTCTGGAATTATTGTTGATTTATGTCCATACTTTGCTGCTAGTCTGAGATGTGTCGAAGTTGCCACTCTTTTTCCATTGGTGCGATTGATTTAGTGGAGCCTTGATACGATAATCGTGATTATTTATTTCTTCCTAACGTCTGTCATGAACTATGGTGGAGTTCAAACATTTGAGGGCGAGCTTACATTTATTGGTGTCGTCTTATGTAGCTGTGTGTTGATGATGCAAACTATGCAGGTGGGCTGGGACGAATCAACTGCAGGTGAGAGGCAACGGCGAGTATCATTGTGGGAGATAGAACCGTTGACAACACCATTTCTGTTATGCCCACCGCCTCTCACTTTTCGAGCTAAGCGTCCTTGGGGAGGAAGAGGTAATGCTTTCTGTTGCATTCATTAAAACGTTACGTCTGAGCGCACATTTAACCCTTTTTTTTTGGCCTGGATCTATGGTTCTGGTGGTTATGGTGACTGTTCCGGGTTGCTGACTGATGGAATTGTACTGGTTTCCAGTAGACGAGGAGATGGATTCCATGCTGAAGAAGGCTTCCTTTTGGTCAGGAGATAGTGGAAGTCATATGGATGCGCTAGGAGCATTGAATTTACGGAACTTCGGTATGAGCTCGTGGATGCGCACTCCCCAGCAAAGGGTTGAACCTGGTTTACCAGCGCAGCAAAACGAGTATTACCGAGCATTCGCAGCTGCAGCTCTTCAAGAGATTCGGTGTTCAGATGCTTCAAAACACGCAATGTCGCATGCTCAGCCATCTTTATCAACCTCTCAGATTGAATTTCGTTCACAGTCACCACAATCGAATCAACATACTGCGCAACATATACCCAATACTGCTGGACCTGTGCTCCAACTTTCGTCAAGTCGTCCTGAGTCTCCGCTTGACGTCGGGATGAATATGGCACAATGTTCAGGATACAGTGAAAGTGATACACACATGACTTCATCAGCTTATACTCCAGGGTCATATCCTTTGCACTCAATGTTAGGCCGAACTCATCTCGGGTGCGAAAATGGTCAAATGACGTACATGATGCGTCCGACTCAAAGTGCTCAACAAAGCCAACCTGAGTCCATCATTCATGGTGGCAGTGTTCGTGAGCCCCAGGTAATTCCTTGCAGTTGGAGGCTGTTGTGTTCGATTAGTTCGTTTTTCTAGCTGGAATACCATGCTTTGAAATTGCCTTTTGTGTAGCTTTTCCTTAAGAATCATGCGCTTGTGTATGATAAATCCTTATCTTCATGATACAGTTTTCTTCGTCTTGGTACCCATCTAATCGAGACACGAGTGAACACGATGTGTCTGCTCGTATGAATCAGTTGGATACGTCACCAACCTCGAGAGTGTCCAGCTGTTTCCCTTTCCCTCAAGAGAGCCAGGTAAATGGCCAATCTGGTTTGACAGGGCTGCCAGTGCCAACCTCTTCATTTGTGTACCGGGAGAATGGCCAGGAGCAGGATTCAGTACAGTCCGATCGTCATCTTCTGTTTGGTGTGTCTATTGAGCAGCCGTTGGTGGGATCAAATTCCGTTACTTCCCTCCAACCTCATGCATTTGCCAAGAGCAAAGATCCCCAGAGCCGGTTCTCTGGCAACACCGTGCTTCAGGGTTCGTATTATCCCTCTGGTAATGCAGACATTCCTACCATGAATGGTGTGGGTCTTGATGAAAATGGAATATTTATGAGGAATGCGTCATGGTCAGCTATGGCACCTACTTCCCGTACATTCACCAAGGTAAGATTAGTTAAAGGTGAAAAATTCGATTTGTGCCTTTTCTGCATGATGCTGTCTACTAGTTCAGGCGTTGAGGTATACTTGTAGTGGTCATCTTGTTCTTTGAATGGAAAGATTCACCTGAACTTCTGAAATGCTTCCACATTTATTGTCATGAGGTATTTTGATGCAGTGAGTCTTATCGTGTGAGAGCGACATGTATTGATGGGAGTTTGTTTTTGATATTGTTTGCGATCCAGGTGCACAAGCTTGGAAGTGTAGGGAGGTCAATAGACGTGCAGAAATTCCAAAACTATTCAGAACTTCGAGTAGAACTGGCTCGGTTGTTTAACCTGGAGGGCTTGTTAGACGATCCTCAGAGATCTGGTTGGCAGCTTGTATTTGTGGACAATGAGAATGACACTCTTCTTGTTGGCGATGATCCGTGGGAGTAAGCAACGGAACCGTGCTCACTGGCAGTTGTATTCTACGTATTGTGTAAAAAGATTATAGAGCTCATTTAAGATTAGGACATATTTAGCGTACTTGTGGCAAGCTGCTATTCGGCAACAAGCAGTTCGTACTTGTTTTGTACACTTCTAATGATCAGACAAGAAGCTTGAAATCATCTGTATGTAGGACACTAATCTTATCACACGCTATTTTGTTTGCAGGGAATTTGTCAATTGTGTGCGATCCATCAAGATTTTGTCCCCAAATGAGATTTTACAGATGAGTCAGGAGCAACTTGAGATTTTGAACTCAGTCCCGATGCAGCAGCGGCCGACGTGCAGCAATTCTGAGGACGCGCGTACTCAAACGTCTCCTGTGAACACGTCGAATTTATCAATGGAGCATGGACACTCTGGCGGTCGATGAGTTGTATTGGTCGAAGTTAGCTATCTCTTACATTTCAGTTTTCTCGATTGTGTGGCTGAGTTCTGGTGGTTCGAGACTCCCGCATTAGGGCTCCAACGGTGGAATTGAGCTGCTTATGAAGCTCTGCTGTAGAAAATTCGTGCAAGACTCCTATTTTTGTTCTTTATGACTTACCACATTGTAAAGGATCGTAAACAGGTGTTGGCGTGTGGTCTATTGCTCAAACATGTAATCAGAGAAAATGAGATTGAGAAGCTTCTACTAAAGCTGGCGTGCCCAATATTGTTTTGTAAAGCCACTCCATTGAGCCAAGTGCTGATTGCTGCCGATAGTGTAGCAAGGAGGAGCTTTGGGCTAGCTGCCAATTTGAAGAGATCTTTACATGAAAGCTGGGCTATGGTTATCTCTTTGAAGCCTGGAGTTCACATTGGCTCTCTTCCGAAGTATTATGTTTGGGAATCCTATAGCATTTCAGAATTAGTGCATAGAGTTGTAGATTTGCATCCTTTCTGGTCAGTTGCAGAAAGGTTGAGCGGGACTAGGAGCAGCGAGTGAGCTTGTTAGGTCAAACTAGTGTGAATTCTGCGAGTTTTCTACAGCGAAATTGGTGCATAGTTTCTGCTAGTTTAGACTCTTGTGGATTTTTATGCTGTGAGCAATAGGTATGTGAAAGGTGTTGGACATGAAGTCGATTGTTGAGTGGCTTGGTATTTAGGGATTCAGATGGAGTGATTTTGTAGAATACACCAGGTATTGCATTCATCTTGTCAGGTTGCCAGTGTGCAACTCCATGATTCTTGAGTGATGCATGTGCATGCACGTTGTTTTATGCTTCTGCCATAGTTTTGTTTATCTTTTGTTGCTGATCGTTCGCTTCTCCAGGTTGATGGAATTAAACTTGTGTTTCCTGTTTATGTTAATAGCTATGAAACAGTTGTGCCAATGAGCACGGGCTTGGTGTGAAATATTCCTTGTCATTGAATTGAGCGTCCTATATTGCATTGAACTTGTTTATCTCTTATTAATACTATGTTAAATTTCAATACTATTTGATAACCGAAAGAACAAAACAAAACTACCGTTATGATGTTTCACCTTTGCAATTTTCTAGTTGGAGACATGTTGCAAAATTTTAATCAGCATATAATCCATTCGCACACCCTCATTCCAGTCCCTTTGCGTTGTTTTGTGTGCTACCAGGTCGGAGGAAAGCATATGTGAGGAAATGATTCTAGGAACTACCTGCCTTTAGCGCTTATGATTTCTCTAAGTCACATGTTTGTAGTTTGTGTTTGTAGTTTGTAGTTTGTCACATGTGCACATGACCTAATTAATTGTCAATGTTTTCGTGTCCTTTTCTTGGCCCCTTTATCCCCTGATCGTTTCGAAAAACAAAGACGGCAGTGAACGAAGCTGAGTTCAATAGTTTAATTGTTTCCTTTTATTTTTATTTTTATTTTTTTCACGCGTCTCAAACCTACTCCACCACACATTGTGCAATATTCTGAATGTTACATGTCTGTGTAGGTCAAGCTCACGGTGCAAATAGCGCCGGGTGCCTGCGCTCAATCGGTGGTTGTGCAAGAGTTAGCAGCTCCAAAGCGACATACGCAGTATTTGACAGGTTCGTTTGCTGCCTTCACATTTTACTCCAAAAAAGTAAAATGAAAATAATATAGACTTAAATCAGGATTCCATCCATCTCGAGTGCTCTGCTGCGAATCAGTTTTGTTGTGACATGCATTAATATTACGCTTCATAACAATCACTTCCATCTATTTACAATGCTAACACAAAACACGCAAGATTGAAAATGATTCTGTAATCAGAGCCTCAACAACAAGGTGCATGTTCTCCTATATATATATATATATATATATAAATATATGCAAAAAATATAAATGCAACGACTTTTGAAAAGTTTCCTATGTTGCTGATTATTCAGTTATGTGAACATGCAGCTGGTCTTCTGTTTCAAACACAGAGAGTGGTGGTATGATGAATCAATGACAATCATGCAACGGTAAGAGCTGTTATAGTTTTAAATAGAAATAAAAGAACTTTAGATGTTAATTTTTTTTTATAAGTGATTAATAAAAAGTTAAAAATATATTTTGAAACCATTTATAGAATCAATTTATTAGTAACATTTTCCCATTTGCATTGAAATAAAATATTGAGATTAATACAAGTTAAGAAGTTGGTGAATGAAATAATCTTTGATGAACATGAGTTTAAATCTGAAAGTTAATTTTTTTTTGTGGCACTTCTTATATAAGAATAATCCCATTTCTAAAATATTTATACTTGGAGAACTATATAATATAATTTCCATCTTAAAAATCCTAGGTTAAATAAATATTTCTACATTAAATTAAGTATTTGTACTCTTTGTAAGATAAATAATTAATAGAATAAAGCTATTTGGATTTAATAATTTATTTAATTGCTAATTTTAAGTGATTTTACATTTCTCATATAAATTGATTGTTCAAATTCTAAGTAATTGGGTTGTCTTTATAATGAATTTTTTCTTTTCTTTCATTTTATCAATATTACTATGATTAATTGACTCATTATTATAAAAATTTGTCTTTAATACTTGCTATTATTAGAGTCTTTATACTTAATAAAGAAGATAAAAAGATAACTTTTAAATCCTTTGTTCATTGAAATTAAAGTGTCTTATTTATTTTGTTTTGTATTTAGCATTTTTTAAAGATTCTAAGATTTTAGTATAACATACTATGGACATTTAACTTATATGGCATGAAAAATATTGTCTCCAATGTTAATATCATTCTTAGTAGCATTTTTCTCTATTATAAAATTTCACTTTATTAATTTTTTCTTGTTATTAATATATATATGTGTATTAGAAAAACCATTAACTTAAAAAAATCTAAAATATATTTTATTTTTTAAAAATAAATATCATTAATTTTAATTATTTAATTATTTAAAATTTAAAAATCATGTATATATTTTAAATAGAAGAAAATTGGCTTCTTTGTTGATTCAAGAGTCAACCTATATTTTATGGCCTAAGTGAGATAGCTAGCTACACAAGATGGTCTGAACTTACCTTTGGACGTGGTATATAGTTCTATTTCAAAGAAGATAGGCTTGATTTTTATTTGTTTAAGTAATACAAGATAATAACATGCTATTTCTAAATGATCTTGACAATCTTACATTTTAAAATCTATGCAATATTTTTAAAGATAAAAAAGAAACACAAGGGTCAAAAGTCATTCATAGTGTTGAATTTTTTTCCTTCAAGAATTCACATTAATACCTTTGTAAAAAATTAATTAGATCAAAGTATATTTTTTAATATATATATATCTTAACGTATTTTTTTTCTAAAGATTTTTTTTGATTAAATTCAAATTTTGTAGCAATCACCTTAATAATTTTTTTGATTTGTAAAGGAATTAGAAAGGTATATTTTTTGAAAACTTTTCTTGAATTTTTTTCATTATGTTTTTTTAACCTACAAAGTCTATTTTAAGTAAAATTATTTGGATAAAAGTCTAATTTATTATCTATTCAAAAATAGAAATGAGAATTATATTGTTGTAATTGAAAATCTTGCTAAGTAATGATTATATATATATACAAGAAGTGAGATCAATTATAATTAGGCCTAAGCTCTTATATAGTTTGTTTAACAAAAAAAACTAAAGATCTTTTCTTAAACTAGTTTGATAGAAAGTAAATATATTTTTCTTTATTGTCTTTTAAAAATAGCTATTTGTTAGTTTTTTTAGAACATAGGTCCTTGATATAATGTATGTATCTCAACTTTGTATAATTTGGTTGACATTTCTTTATTAATTGTGGTTTTAAAGATATAAATGCATATTTTGTTCCAAAGGTGGTAGTTGAATATTAAGCAAAATATATTTGGATGAACATTCTTGATGTCCTTGCTCATTATTTGTGATACTTTACATACTCTCCTCCACATTTTTAATCTTGTATAGAATTTTGATGATAGTTTTGTTATCTAATTTTAATTGTGAGCTCATTTCTTGATAATTTTAAATGATTATTTAATTTGGATTCTATATTGCACAAGCTTTTAAAAAGAAGAGCTTGCTGACTTAAATGATTTTATAATCCATCTTATAATTAAATCATATAAAGAAATTTTTGGATTACTTAAATTAAGACCTCTATTTTATATGCATAAGCTAGCCATTTGCCATGAGACTTATGCTTGTGTATTTGTATCTTTTTGTGACCTACAAAGAATATTTTATCATAATTTTACTAAATTTTATAGCTTGAATTTTGTTATAATAAGCCATAATGAAATAAATACTAAAAGCCAAAATAATATTGATGAGAATCATAATATTGCCATCAAGATTAAGCTTTGTGTAGCACTAATACTTTAATTTCTTTTTTTCATGGTTTATTAGAAAGTTGCCAAAAATAAAAGAAGGAAGTTAAGACTAAAATCAATTTTAAAAATAAGTTGAATTTTCTTAGGAGTCCTTAGATTGATAAGTGGTTGCTATCCATTATAGTTTGATTGTATTAGTATATTATAATGCTACTAGTTTTTTGCTAGATTATATGTTGTTCTAATAAATTGTTAATTTTTTTATGATAGTAATATCCTTACTTATATTAAATTATTTATTATCTATAAATAATAACTTATTTTCTTGTAGATAATTTAAATCTTTAAATTCAAATATATATCATAATAGCCTTGAGGCTAAAGTTTATTACTTCACAATTAAGAATATTTAGTGAATTAATGAATAGTTTTGTCCAAATTCTTAATGAATTGAAAAGTTGGTGGATTTCCATCTATTTATATTAATATGTATTTTGATCTATATAAAGAGAAATTTAGATATCTTCATAAAATTATATCTAAATATAAAAAATTCTATTTATTTTGAAAATATAATTAATTTAATTTATAATTTTTATAAATCTTAATTTAAAAATAGAGGATTTTTTTATAAATAATTTGGTTAAAAAATTGGCTTTGTGGACTAAAATTATATTATTTAATATGTACCTAATAGGAAGAAAAGATGTTTAGTGATAATTTTTAAATATTAAGAAGATAGGCTAAATTCTCATTTAAAAGACTTTTACAAATAAATTATGAATATAAATAAAAAAATATAAATTGATAATTTAAAAATATATATATATATATATATATATATAGTTTTAATATTTAATCTGTAATTATTGCTATGGTAGATTATAAAAAATTCTTCTACATAAAAAGTTTTTTAAAAATTAAATTTTTTAATTTTTAATAATATATCAAAATATCTTTCAAGAACTTGGATTCCTATTGTGTGGACCTAGAGCCTTTTTATTTGCAAACACTTTGATAGCATCATAAAATTCTTTTTGTATATGATTTGATGATGATCTATTTTAGCAACTATTTTTTCTTTTTATTTGTATGATTATTAGTTTTGACAAATATTTTTAGTCAATAATAAATTCTAGAACTTTAGTTAAGTTACAAAAATACTTCGCTATTAGATCTTTAATTTAAGGTTATTGAAGTAGATTATTGAATAATTATTTAGACTATAAATATTAATCAAATATAAGCAAAATATTTAGATCTATATTAAACTTTGAAGTCTATATTAGTAATGTTATTTTAGAAATAATTTTCTTTTGCTATTAGACATTACATAAAGTGTTAGTCATTTAGTTTAGACAATAATTGATGTAAAATTACTTGAAGATTTGAAGCTTTATTTATACTACTTATGCTATAATTCTATTCTTTAATAGAAAAATATATTTTATTGAAGATCTTTCTAGTTCTATAGGCACCAC